AAAATAAGGAAAGAAAAAAATACGTATATTCAGGGGCGGGTAGTTTCCAGTGGTTGAATATTTCTGTAGACTTTCCGCGGAGTTCCCCTGTCCAGTCGCTGTCAGTAACCCAGTCGTCCGCCCGCCTCGACCACCAGCCATGTGCGATGATATATCTCTGGGCAATGGTGTTACGTCAACAATGTCGTAATATACCATCGAGTCACGTAACAAATCCATCGGTTCAGACGATATATTAGTGCAGGTCTGGGCTAGGCTTCGCTGTTAACCGTTTTACAAAGTTTCCAGTTTCGTCTCTCCTGTCTTCTCCATCAAATTATCCGGCCAGCAACATGTACAGCAAATTTCCGGTCAGCTCGACGATAATATTTTCAAAAGAAATGATTTGGTTCGTGTCGTTACTTCCGGTTTTCTTTTTCTTTTTTTTCAATCAGTCAGGTACATTTGCTAGTATCAGTTAAAATATTGCATTACGTCTTTCAGATATGTAGGACAACCTATATATATATATATATATATATATATATATATATATATATATATATATAAAAATCAACGTTCAAAGTTCATATTTTTCCCATGGGATCGAACACCAACAAAATAGCCCCAACAGGAAATACGTAAATATCCCTGTGATTGTATGTTCTTTATGAAGCTTAACTTTAACAAGTACAATACCTCAGGATATAAAAAGGTGTCACACCAATCTTTCATATTGCTATGACATTTGTTGAACATTTATTCTGAAAAAAAAAATGTTTTGCTAAATTTGTTTTATGAATTTCAACCGACAGTAAGACTAACTGTTTAGTCAATGAATGTTTTCTATACGGAAACGTTTATTTTTACAAGTAACCCTTTGTGATTCTATAGTTTAATGTAAAAGACCAATTTACGAATGAGATGGAAAAATCAACAGCCTAATATACATACACCACAGATCGAAGGGTTGAGGCTAGCCCTGGTAATTTTTTTTTAAATTGGCCCAAAAAATTCTGTACTTTAAATAAGAGTGTTATTAAACATAGTTAAAAAACAGTGAAACATTATTTTTTATTAGAAATTTTATGATAAAAAGACAAAAAGCCTTTCATGCTTAAATTTTGCTGTCGTCAAAATATCCTCCTTTAGCTTTGATTACTTCAGTACAAAATTTTGGCAATCGCTGCATAAGTTTCTTAAAGTATTGTTTTGATAATTGATTGCATTCTTTTTTCAATGACTCTAAGAGCTCTTTTTTTATTTTTCCTTTCTTCTTTTATGTCCATCAGTTGGTTGTTAAGTGAATATGGCAGCTTAGGAAGAACAGACCAACAGTTCCAAGTTTTTTCTTGTGTTATTTTAACTGTCTGTGGTCTTGTGGTGCCATGGAAGAAAACAAAATTATCCCTTTAAACCACTGTGTATGCTGAACTGCAATGTCAAAACTAAGACATGGATTTCACTTTGATTTTATTAGCTATCACATATAGTTAAAAGTTAGAATGACACTTTCGTCATTACAATTGTTTCCCTACAACGAAAACTACATACGACTCAACCTAAGAAAATAGCTCACGCCAAAAATATTCGTACATTGAAATTGAGAAAAGAAAGAAAAAACGCATCTATTATAATAAAAAGCCTTTTACGGTTTTAGATTCTGAATATATCAATTAAAATAGTCGTTAATATAATACGTTTTTTTAACTGATCATAAGGAATCAGTTCTATCGGTTAAGTCCGATGCTAATTTTGGCGATGGCTTTTGAACTGTTGTGTATATATGCAGTATACAAAATTGTTCGAAAAAAATTCTTGGAAGCGATGATCAAAACAGGAAAGATAGCAGTGACTAGACCTTGGCATAGAGAAATGTGCAGTAACAGTATAAAGAAAGAGATGAACCGTTGTATAGCAAAACAATCAACATCTAACCACGGGAGTCGCTCAAAATAACCTCCGTAAAACCTAATAAAATCCGATGCTGTGAAGTCAAATTAAATATTAAGTCCAATAACGAAGGTATGAGAAACTAGAACGGTTGAAATTTCATAAAAGGCATAAATACATCGGCGGTATGAATACTGTGATACAGATTAAACTTCGACGTGCTTAACCTGTTCGTCTCGCTAGATAAATTACGCGTGTATTCGATCCTCGCTGGATGATCCTGGCTTCTGCCTTGTGTCACATCTAAGATACGCTTATCAAATGGCTACAGAGAACGTGGTGCAATCATAAGTAAGCCGGTCTCGCCAGATCAATTGCTAACGAGTAGTGAGTTCGTTTGGCCTTAAGTCATTTCTAAGCTACACTGAGTAAATGACTACAGAGGAAACTTACTAGATTGGAAAAAAAGTAAAATCTCATAAGAAAATGGCATTTAAAGTAAACTTAAATAGATATAGCGTAGCGAAATTTTGAACCTCGAGCTCAAATCCCGGGAGATTGTATTTTGACCCGACAGTAGCTTAATCAATTTCTTAAGAAAATCTCGTGGTTAAGCGAGACTGAAATCTCTAGACATAGGGCTACGCCACTTATTCGATTACTGACATCATACGGCAGGCACTATTAGCAAAATTTGTAGTGATTTATTTATGTTTGGGCGATGTATTGTCTATATATATATATATATATATAAAATAAAAACAGACCACTTTAAGGTTCCATGTAATAAATTATTTCACCACAGCCTCTTTAAAAGGATGCGGGTCATCAGACTTTACTTCCAAACAAGTGAAATAATTTTTTACATGGAACCTTAACGTGGTCTGTGAAATAATTTATTACATGGAACATTAAAATGGTCTGTTTTTATTTAAATTATTTGCTCTGAATTTACATTGAGCTCTCTGGATTTTATCCTCCTTAGGTTTACCCATACGGATTACCTTGTTTTTCATAAACTACATATATATATATATATATATATATATATATATATATATATATATATATATATATATGTAATCATGTCTGCAAAAAAACGATGTTAACTTTTAGAGTTGAGCTGCAATGAAATAAAATATTTGAAACAATTCTTGGGTGTTTAATAAGGCTGGGCTGCAGATTTCATAACTAAAATAGAGACTATCAGCCATTTTAATTAAATCGATAAGAATATTTAATCGGAAATATAATATTAAAAAAAAAATTAATTAGTTTATACTGTGTTGATTATTAAAATGACAAAGGGAAATAAACACTTATAAATTAACTACTTTCAGTTCATATACTTTCCTTCTACTATAGATTGTGGCACAAAAGATATAAATAAATACATTAATACACCACGGTAATTATCTATCTATCTATCTATCTATCTATCTATCTATCTATATATATATATATATATATATATATATATATATATATATATATATATATATATATATATACACACGAGTGTAATTCAAAAATTAACCAAACTTATTAACCACATATATTTTTGTTTGTCATACAGCCTTCTGCTCATGGGTGCTTATAATGGCGCTATTTTGTTCATGTGATCGAATTTTGAGCTTCGTCACACCCGTTTTCTTGCTACTATTTATAGTGGCGACAGTGTATGATTTTGGTATGTTGGTCGGCCTGAGAACATTTCAGTACCTATCCGTATTATATATACATGATTAAGTCAAAATTATCCACACTTTCGCCATATGAGCTTATAGTTTGAGCTCGGTCGTGCCAGTTTTCTTGTTGCTGTTACAGTGTAAACAGTGCCGCTCCCCCAGCAGTGTGCATCAAGAAAGAACAAAGAGAAATGAAGAAAAGATTCGATTTTCTCTGGTTGGAGAACTGCTAAAGATTCTTAAGAGACACGTCGCTTTTCAGCACCCCTCGGTTTCGCTATCTTTTTATTGCTTTTGTTATCAACGTTCACGGTAGAAGATTATTACAACTACTACACGTAGTATATGCAGAACGATGCCAATAATCGAATGCGTGTTGTAACCTGATGTTTAGAGATCACCGTATCGATTAACCAATAGAGAAATTAATTAAGATACCATCCTTAAATTACAATCCCTTATGATATTAGGTGCGATTTTAAGAATAGTCGGTATACCCTGTTGAATAGCATTTTAATAGTAATGGTCATATTAGCTGTTTCCTTATAAGGAAACATTCGCCATGCGTTGACCTAGCAGCAATTACAACTTTCGGTTGAAATTTATAAGATCGTTCTCTTAAAAACCATTTTTTTCGGGAAAATATGTTTTTTGAATCTAGTAATTGATATCTTCCTTTCCATTATTTATGAGGGCTTCCTTCCTAAACTTTGACGTTGTGCAGAATGTCAACATCTTGATTATGCGAGGATTTTCTTGTAATGGTCATATTAGCCGTTTCCTTATAAGGAAACATTCTAAAGGCACTTGATGTTGGCCTCAGTGTTGAGTATGAGGCCCTGTGGGAAGATGAAATGGAGGCATAACGTCACCATTACTAGTGATCTCTCCAGACACCCAGAAATCCCCATTAGAAACATCCGACTCTTTCCTTTCCTAATCCGATGCACTGTTATCAGATTGACAGCCAAACACTCTAAAATGTTCGTAATGGACTTTCCGGCGCGAATGCCAAGCAGTACAGGGTGTCGTTTCCAAATTTCTGGCGGAGTGAATTGCGTCATTTTACTATTTTTCTCACAGATGGTGTCCAGCTTATCCTAGGATAATGTGCAGTCAACAAAACACACAATGTGCATGCGCGAAATTGAAGCTAAAAAATGGCGACGATTTACCCATTTCACCTCATATATATATATATATATATATATATATATATGGTAGGGAGAGAGGATGACTGTATATTTGTGTGTCTTTGTTCCAGTGTGCGTGCTTCTCTTTTTTAATTCTGTTATTCAACCTCCTATTTAGTATCATTTTATCATGTGTTATTGCCATTTGCCGGTTCCAAACGCTAATGCCAATCATCTCATATAAATTGATGAAGGCTGGGAAAAAAATGGATAACATTACTGACAGCCGTGAGCTTTGTTTCGCATTTTAAATGATGATTCTAATGAAAGTTGCAGTAAATACAATCAGTAATAAAAACGAAATGCGTGAAAAAAATCGATGAAGAAAAATGAAGGGTTTTCTGAAAGAAAGGGACAAAGACGTCAGGAGAAACGGAGAAGGAAGAGAAATAGATGAAAAACGAGGAAGGTGAAGAGGTGAGAGCGAAAGAGAAGGAGTAGAGGATGGTAGAAAAGTGGGATGGCAAGGAAGGGGTAATGAAAAAAAGTAGGAGAGTAGGAGGATAGACGGGATGTTGCAGGAATAACGAAGCAAAAGAAAAAGAAAAAAAGAAGATTGAAACGAAAAGACTAAAGAAAGACAGGCACAAAAAAGAATGACATGAAATTTGCTATAATAAAAAGCGAAGAAGAAAAGTATAAAGAGAGGGAAAAGAAAGAAAGGATAAAGTAGAAGAAAAAGAGAAAAAAAGAATAGGAGTGAAAGAGAAGGGAAAAAAGAAAAAATAGAAAGACAAATAAAAAAAGGAAGCGAAGACTAAGAAGTCAGATGAAAGAAAAGAGAAATGAAAAAAAAAAAAGAAGGGAGGGATAAAGAGAAGAGGAGGAATAAATAAAAAGTGAAAGCGAAGAAGACGGAAGAAGAAAGAAAAGTGAATGAGAAGCAAATTTTGAATAAAAAAGAAAGAATCAGAAAAAGAACGAAAGACATCCCCACACGCAAAAAAAAAAAAAAAAAAAAAAAATATAAAGGAATGCGTAATAAAATGGAAAATAAAATAAAAGCTGCAGAACGAAATGTGAAAGAAAAACTAAAAGAATTATGGAAAAAGATTTGAGAGAAAAAAACAATTAATCAGGAAGAGAAAATACAAGCTGATAGAATAATAATAATGATAATAATAATAATATTAATAATAAGAAGAAGAAGAAGAAGAAGAAGAAGAAGAAGAAGAATACATTAATGACAACCTTGAGTTAAATGAGAAGAAAAAAAAACAAAAAAAAAAAAACAGCCTTAATCGTGGAATTGAGAAAGGCCTCCGGTTCGAAAGGCATTGGCAAAAATATCTTTTTTGTTTGCACGTTTTCAACAACTAATTCATTCTCTTTCACAATGATCGGCAGCGAAAATGCCCGAGCAAAAATAAAAAAAGAAGATATGCCCAAAACCAGTTAAAAACAAAAACAAAACAAAACAAAAAAAAATCTGACAGCACAGCGTAAAACTTGGAAACAACTGTGGGTTGCAAAACAACAGAATACATTCTATTGAACTGTTCTTTAGGAGTTAGCCTGTCTTTTTTTATGATTAATGATCGAAAACGAGGCTTACTTTTCGGCCTATCAAATTCCTTTCTTTCAATCTCATAGGCAACATTTGCCTGTTTTTCTTTTTATCATGAAAACTGGTGTCTAAAACACATCTCCTTCTTTATCGATTTGGTTTACGATTTTTACCGTGTTTATGACGCAAATAAGGGCTAAATGATACCTATGCCTTGCCTCTTCAACTAAAAAGGGCCTAACTAAAACGCCGACTAGCAGCATTAAACGAGGAGAATGGATTGGATTAAATACACAATTATCTCGGCTACAACACTTGGATATATTTGCTGAGATCTTATTTTAACGTATAAGATGGGGAATGAAGTCGCGGCTATCGACAGGGAAGTAAATGCTTGCTTTGAAAATCAGCTTCCAAAACTGACTTTTATCTAAGCCTGGACTCAGAAAATTGGCTGCTGTTCTTAGCGTACTTAGCAGAGTCTGAACTACTTGAATTAATTTCCCTGTCAGTGTAGCGTAGTGCATATAGCTATTTACTAAGCGTAGCTTAAATGTGGCACAAGCCCGAAAGTACAGAGCACACAGTGAGGATCGAACTCATTGATCAGTCGTAACTGATCTAGCAGGTGGCGTAGTGAATATAGGAATTGGTTAAAGTATTACTTACTGTCTTCTGTTGGCCGTGAGTTCAATGTCTAATTTCGGCAGTGAAACCAGGTTTCTGCACGAAGGCAGAGAAACTACTGTCCCTGGGACATTATAATATAATAATCAACATGTATCCGATATTAGTCAAAACAATGAACACCAGATAGTTGCTAGAGGGTTCTTGTATACTTTGGCTTTATTATTGTTCAGTAAAATTCTTGTAATATTGGATAAAGTATATAATGGCTGAAATGATTTAAACTATCCTCATCCGAAGAGCACAGTATCTAATAAAAATGATTCCCTTATCTCAAAACTAGTAAAATCATATCGCCCCAAATGACAAAAAAAAAAAAAAACAACAACAAAAAAAAAACAAAACAAAACAAAGAGAACTCATGTTCCAAACGATAAAGACTTGTATGGTAATTTCTTACCTGTTATGTAATTAAAAAAAAAACGGTAAATTTGCAAATTAATCCCCGGAAACCAATTGTAATGAAAATTTCCATTTTGGTGTGTAAATTTGCATGCTTATTTCGAAATAGCAATAAAAGTTTGGGGGAAATGTACGGTTTAGGAGTTATCAACAATATAAGTTCGGCCTTATTCGCGTTCTTTCCATCCGCCATTACTGGCTTTTTCTTTTACATACTTTTCCTTGACTAGTCAAGCTTAATTTATCTTGATTATTGCGCATGCAATGCGTGAACATTAATTTTAAATGAACCCGCGAAATTAAAAAAAATGTAACCCAACAGGAAAAGCCTCACTATTCCAAATATATCATAAAAAGAAAGAAAAAAACTCAAAGAAAAATTAAAATTACAAGCTAAAAAACAAAATTGAAATTTATCTATAAAAATTAAAAGATAAAACAAAATATGCTTTATATTTTAGGAAATGATGCATTTGCAAAAAAAAACAAAAAAAAAAAAAAAAAAAAAAAAAAAAAGTGCTACAAAGACTTAATAATAACAAACAATTTTAAGGTTCATACTTTGTTTATATTAAATTTGGGTTTTTTAAAGACTTCTTTTCGTTTTGCGCAGTAATCGAAACGAGAAAATATAGAAAGATCATTAAAAACGCCGTCAACAAAGTAAGCTTCCGCGCGTGATTAGTCGAGGCAAACGTAAATAAACAACACCAGTAATGGCGGATAGACTAGATGTGAATAAGTCCGAACTTATATAGTCGATAACTCCTAAACGGTAGATTTCCGCAAATTTTTATTGTTATCTTCGAAATAAGCACGCACATTTACACTAAAATGTATATTTCCATTGCAATTGGTTTCCGGAGCTTAATCTGCAAATTTACCAAAAAACTACTAACCAAAAATGATTCTTCTCCGCTTTCATCCGGATTTCGAAACGTGTAATGAATCGGTTCTATTCGACAAATATCGGTTCTCAAGTTCTGCTTGATTAAAATAACATGGCCGTTCACTCGACTTATTCCTCTGCTTTCTCATTTCGGTTGCATCAGAAATCATTTTTCCTTTGCCAGCAATTCTGTTTGCTGGTCGCTTTCCCCGTCAATAAATTGCAATCCCGAAAACAGGTCGTCGTGATCAGAACATCACACCAAGATTAATGTTTGTCATGTGCCGCAGAAAATTGGATCTTTTGCTTTAAAACCCTCCTGGGGATTTCGCAAGCTGCCAATCTGCTCGCATTGAACTCTGGAAATGCAAAGCAATTGATAGTGTTTGGAAACAGCGTGTTATATTTGAACATGTCCCAAACGATCGGCCAAATGGTGAAATGTGACGGCATTGATTGAGATTGTTTCTTCGTTCAGATGTTTACGAGGCCGATTTTAACTGAAGCTTATCCATAAATATTATCCTAGGCTTTATTATATAAAGTCATAAACTTCAAAAGATGTCATAGTAAAGAGAATATAACAGAGATATTTAGGAATGAGATGGTCGTTTGAGGCGTCATATTTCCTAACAAATAACTACGATGCGGACTGAAAACAACGAAATCCTTGGTTTTCTAGTTAATTATTTCCTCATTTAGAATGAAAGAAATTTTCTGAATCTTTAGTCGTCTGGTGGGTCAGATGGATACTTACTTACTTACTAATAACTAGCAGCATGGCCCGGCGTTGCCCGTGCTTGATTCAAAAATCGTATGACTCATACATCAATCGCTATCACTTGACTTAAAATATTTTTGCCCTTCCTTGCCTTTAAAGGAGTGCCCTTTGCCGTGCTGAGGTTGATACATGCCTTACATCTTGCCAATCTCACAATGCGAATTTTTCTAAGCTCTATACTAAACATTAAATCTCTTACGAAAAAAGAACTAAACAAAATGAACACAAAACGATCAGCTTTAAAAAAAAGGACTCGTAACTGGAAAAACCGAATGAAAAAAGAATGTTAACAACAAATACTTTTTCACACCCAACCCAGTTCTGCGGAATCAGAATCAACGTTGAGTTTAAGCAAGCGAATGAGCCAATTGGAGTAAAGTGCCATGCAGATTTAACTTTTTCCCACTTGTGACGAATGCAGCTATCGATTTTTTTTTGCATGCTAGCATGCTAGTTCACATTCGTGTCAGTCAGCTGTTGGCTCTCACGCTGGCTAATAGAATCTTCCTACCTATTCGTGGCAGCCAGCTATTGGCTCGCACTCTGACCAGTAAAAAATGGCCGCAAACTACATGAAAACTGCCGTAGAAGCATGGAAAAAATCGATTATTTCAACTATCGATGGGAGTTGGGAAATGCAAAGTCGGTGTTGGCCTTCCCGCTAAGTTGGAGCATGTGCATGTAAATTTTGGCGCAAATCCCTCGAAAATTGCGGCCGTGCATTCGTTACACACACACACACACACACACACACACACACACACACACACACACACACACACACACACACACACACACATCCTGCCTTTTATAGATAGAGATTATTAATAACTAGCTTAAAAGTCGCCCTATCGGGCGGTATTTAAGATGGCTCCTGCGGAGAGATCTTGATTGGGACTTTATCACAATAGTTAGGTACTAGTAAATGCGAGAGACAACAATAACCTACAGAAGAAATTGAGCGCTTCATTTAAATATTGCATTAATATTTAAGTTTACGTTTTAAAAGTTCAACAATAATTCTTCTGCCGCTAAGAAAATTTCATCTACGTAAGTTTTTACTTTCTATACAAAGAATTTCTTCTGCCGCCACTTAATTTAAAGACAATTGGATATGCGTTGGTCCTTATTTTTCGTATAAAAAAAAATCATTTTTATTTTATGACTGACTTTCGCTGAATTTCGCAATTAATTTCGATTATTTCCAAATTAATTTCTAAGGTATAAAAAGTATCATACAAAAAAAAAAAAAAATTCATCGCCAAAATATCACGTAACAGTTGCCGGAAACAATCCCTGTAATGAAAACTTGAGAACCCAAAATTTCAGAATTGCGGGTCCTCATCGAATTTATTATACAGATTAATATCTAAATATTTTAATTTTGGATAAATTTATCTATTAAATCAGTTATGTACCATGCGTGATACACGCTGAGGCGATCATGTATCTTTCGATACATGACTGACGATGTAGATTTTTTTCATGCAGTAGATAGCCATTTCTTTCTGCGGTAGACCGGTTGCCATCTAAGGCCATAGAACCCGGTCTGTCCTGCTATTTACCCATAGCTGGGTAAAAAGAAGAGGGTTTCTAACTTTTCCAAGGATATTAGCATGTTAGTGAATGTAGTGGATTCGACTGGAATTCGAACTCGGTATATATTTTAAATAAGGGGAGATTATGAATTTAAACGTTTTCTTGTCATTTTTCTCGTTGTACGTTGGCTTAAGAAAGGAATTTTTCAAATATTTCAATTCTTGAA